TGCTTCTCCCTCTGCTTGTGTCTCTGCCTCTCTCTGTCTCTCATAAATAAATAAAATCTTAAAAAAATAATAAAAAAGGCATACAAATTACAGAGGAAGAAATAAAGTTGCCTCTATTTGCAGATGACATGACTGGCTACCTAGAAGATTTCAAGAAATCTACCCAAAATACTCCTAAAATTAATAAGTGAGTTTAGCCAAGTTGTAAGACATGGTGAACACACGAAAGTCAATCATATTTCTCTACACTAGCAGTGTGTGGTAAGAAACTAAATTTTTTAAAATACCATTTAAGATAGCTCTCTAAAGTAACTTTATAAATGAAATAAAAATGATTAGATAGCAAATGAAATCCAGCAATATGTAGAAGGAATTCTATAGTTACTAAGTCCAGTAATTATATAAAAATATACTGCGTTTTACATAAAACTAATGTTATATGTCATAGCCAAGTTTATACCAGGAATGAATGGTTTTTTGCAATGACAAATTAATAAAAGTGACTTGTCCTAATTCATTGTGTTGAGTGTGGAAGAGGCAAGGTTATTTTTTTTTAAAAGATTTATTTATTTATTTATTTATTTATTTATATGATAGAGAGAGAGAGAGAGGCAGAGACACAGGAGGAGAGAGAAGCAGGCTCCATGAGGGGAACCCGATGCGGGACTCGATCCCGGGGCTCCAGGATCACGCCCCGGCTAGGATCAGCCCAGGCTGAGGCAGGAGCCAAACTGCTGAGCCATCCAGGGGTCCCCCTCAATAAAGCTTTTCAAAATATATCATCATCCCATCATGCTATTTAATATTTCTGAACACCCTAACTTACACCAAAGTATCATGGTTTTTAACACCAGACTTCATACCTTAACAGAAAACACTGTATAAGTAAGACAGAAAAATACAAACCCTTCTTTAGATATTGGTGTCTTGATGAAAGGAGGCTTCACTGATACTTCCCTGACATCAGTTTACACCCTTGTGTGGCACCTGAGGCGGCACATTCTAGGAAGATACAGAATAGGTAAATTGTGTGTGTGTGTGTGTGTGTGTGTGTGTGTGTGTGTGTAAGCTGTTTGAAGAATAATTTTGAAAGGGAAGGTGGGAAAAGAGAACTAGAAGGAAATCACCACAGGTATATTCTCAGGTAGATTGGTTTTAGGAAAAAGGTTGAAAATCTGGAAACTGATTCCCTAAAAACTGTGCATGTCTGATATTCCCTTGGAAAGACTTCATGCTCCTGAGTTTGAAGATCTGAGTTGTAATTCAAAAGCCTTGTCTTTCCAGACCAACATCTCTGCTATGAATTGCTAAAGCTTCCCTTGCAGCTAACACCAAGATTTTGACTCTAAGTCTTGCATTCAGCTCTGCCAGCCTCCCCAGGGTGATAAGTCTTGAATGTTTCAGCCTTATGGTCTAATTTTAATGTGGGAAGGGCTTAAGAAGAAAGAAAGAGGAGGAAGGAAGGACAACATGGATTAATATATCAAATGATCATCCTACCATGCCAAAGATCTCCCTTTTTATTTATCTTTTTTTCAAAGATTTTATTTATTTATGCATGAAAGACATAGAGGCAGAGACACTTGCAGAGGGAGAAGCAGGCTCCATGCAGGGAGCCCGATGTGGGACTGGATCCTGGATCTCCAGGATCACACCCCAGGCTGCAGGCAGCGCTGAACCGCTGAGCCACCTGGGCTGCCCAAGATCTCCCTTTTTAATAAGTACCCTGGTGATTCTGTCGCAGGTGGAAGAGGCCAATACTGCCTAGTACTGCAAGGGAAAGAATCAACAGAGAAAAGGACAAAGAGGACAATATTGTCAGGAGACAGTTTGGTAGCATGGTAGCAATAGAAGACAGAGTTGATTAGAGACAGATGAGAGATGGAGCCGGGGAGCACAGACATTTAGGACGATCAACTGAGGGAAAAGATGGGTAGGTGGGCCTCAGAGCTGAGGAGGGTTTGTTTCCAGAAAAAGGGGAACTTGAGAAAACTTATGGAATAAAGAGAAAAAATCAGGAAGGGGATGAGAGAGAAGGAATTGAGGGTTCTGAGAAGCTGTGAGGTGACAAAATAGGAGCGCCAGGGGAGGGGGATCAGCATCGAATTGTGGAAGGACACCACTTCCTCTGAGATGCAGGAAAGTAGCAGCAGCTCTGGAGAGTTTTAGTGGATGTGGGATTGTTCGCGGAGCTCAGATCATTTGACCTCTATTTCTCCAGAGATCTAGGGGCAGAATGAGAAGCAAGCAGTTAAGAAAGAGGAGAGGAAAAGAGCGGGGCCTCGGGACACCAGAGAGGACTAGAGAATCAGAGAATGTGGAGAATGGCCTGGGTGGGGGTGGGCAGATGAGCCTGGTGGGCTAGGGGTGGGGGCAGCTGGCCACAGCGGCATGGACTCTTTTGTACTTCGGAAGACGGCAGTGAAGTAAGCAAAAGTGGGGGCTGCCTAGCGTTGAAGAAGTGAGAAAGGTGGGAGAAGTTCCGGAGAAGAGAGAGTCAGCTGTGAAGTCCAAGGTTCTCACCCACAAGGAGCAAAATAAGACTTGGGCAGAAGGTGGGCTTTGAAGCAAGTGGCCACCCAGCAGAGAGGTCAAGAAGACAATGCTGAGCAGGTCCAATAGGATTGAGAGGGAAAAGGGGGATGAGCATGTTTGAGCCACGAAGCTCTCTAAACTGTCCTGCACTATCTAATCCAGTAGTCCCTAGCCTCCTGGGGCCTTCTGTATTTAGTTAGTCCAAATTCATTTGCGCTGTAAGTGTAAATTATACACACGATTCCAAAGACTTAGGATGAAAAACAAAAAGAACGTTAAATATCTCGTTAATAAATGATTACACTGATTACTTGCTTAAATAATATTTGGACGTATTGGGTTAAATAAAATACATTATTAAAATTAATTTGACTGTTTTTACTTTCGTAGTGAAGCTTCTAGAAAAAAAATTTTTTTTTTTTTAGAAAAATTTAAATTACGTATGTGGCTTGCATTATATTCCTCTTGCACAGCACTGATCTAGATACTCCCTTACTGGGGCATGGATTGTCTGTGTCATGTGGCCCCAACATGGATTGTCTGTGTCATGTGGCCCCAACACCTGGACAAGGGACCTGCCCAGAGAGGCTTCAGTGAATGGTGTGTGTGTGTGTGTGTGTGAATTGATGAGTAGATGAATATGTAAATGAATGAATGAGTGAGTAGGTAAATGAGGATCATATATGGTTTTCAAGGACGCGGTCATTTTCTACTCAATGGTTGAGGATTCTGTATTAGCACACCACTGACTGGAAGGGATAGTTAGAATTGAGGAAAGCGGGCAGCTCTGGTGGCTCAGCAGTTTAGCGCCTCCTTTGGCCCAGGGCATGATCCTGGAGACCCGGAACCCAGTCCCACATTGGGCTCCCTGCATGCATGGAGCCTGCCCTCTGCCTCTGTCTCTGCCTCTCTCTTTCTCTCTGTGTCTCTCATGAATAAATAAAATCTTAAAAAAAAAAAAAGGAATTGAGGAAAGCTCACCAAAGCTTTGAGGCAGGGAGTCTCAAAAGGCAATCTGGGGGACCTTACTTGGTATAAAGACTCAAGAACCTGGACCCTTGCCACACTTTTTTTTTTCATTAAAAAAAATGTACTCCTGTGTCATCTTAAATGCCAGGGGATCTGTCCTAGGCATTTGTATTAACTCACTGAAACTTTCCATCACCCCAGGAGGTAGGCACTCCTGGTATGTCTCTTTTGCAGACAAGGAAACAAAGGCACAGAGATGTGTAGTTTGGCCAGGATTACCCAGCAGGCGGTAGAACTGGCATTTAAACCAGGTTGACTGGCCCCAAAGGCCATGCTCCTAGCTACTACACCATCCTGTCTCTCTCATCCTGTCCTCTCACCTCACCCTCTGTTCTCTCCAACAGAGATATAGTAGTCCCCCCCTATCTGCTGGGGATCCGCTCCAAGATCCTTAGTGGATGCCTGAAACCACAGAACCCTCTATATACTATTTTTTCCTCTATACACATCCCTATGATGAAGTTTAATTTATGAATTAGGCACACTAAGAGCTTAATGACAATAACAATAGAACAGTTTTAACAATATACTGTAATAAAAGTTACGTGAATGTGGTCTTTCTCAAAGTATCTTATTGTGCTGTACTCACCCTTCTTGGGATGATGTGAGATGATAAAATGCCTACGTGATAAGATGAAGTGAAGTGAATGATGGGGGCGTTGCGACATAGTGTGGGGCTACTACCAAACTTCTGATGGTCAGAAGGAGGATCATCTGCTTCTGGACTACAGCTGACCACAGGAAGCAAAACCACACACAAGGGGGGACTAGTGCATAGATTGCTTGTTTCCCCCCTTACTGATTTCTCTCCATCCCAGTCCCTCAGGCCCTGTATTCCTGGGAAAGTTCCCGATGTAGTTTGCTTACTGAAAACAATTGTAATTGTAACCTCCCAACTTCCCCACAAATAAGACGCAAACACACCATAGCTTCATGGTCAAATACAACAGCCAAGTAACCTGGCCTCCTCTGTTCCCTCTACCCTTATCCCTGAGCCTTTCCCACACCATTTTCTCCATATCCCTCCCTCCATGTCCTCCCTCCCCCCAGCCCATGAGTCTCCTGTCCCAAACCTGGGATTGGCCCTCCCCTGCCTTCCTGGATGGACTCGAGGGGAGTGAGTGTGGGAGGAGCCTGAGGCTCCATAACTCCAAGCAAACACTTTTATCAGTCTAGCGGATGCCAGCGAGATGACTACAGGGGATAGAATGGGGGCTTTCCAGACACCACCTTGGCCAGCACCCAGGAGATGCTTCAGTCCCACCCACCAGGGACTCCATTCCAGCCTCAGCTTGGATCCCTCCAATAACAGAGTAGCCCTGAATTTCTACCCACTGGGAGCAGCCCTAGCCCAGGATCTCTACTTGCAGGGCCAAACAGACTGGAAAACTAAGAAGGAACCAACAGGCCATCTTCCTCTATCTCTCATTAAATTGTGAATAATAATGCATTTACTTATTCTCCCACTTAAAAAGCTGTTTAAATCCTTTGAAGAATCTTGCACGGTAGCTTGGCTAGACAGCAGGCAGGACAGTCCAGTGCCTCCGGTGGGGGGGCCAGGGTTTTCCACTCGCCTGTCTTTTGGTCCAACAAGTAGGCATTTGGGTTGATGGTGTAGTCCTTTGTCTGGACATCGCTGGTTGTGGTGACACCCCCGCACACAAACACTCTGCTGTCTCCAATGGAGCATATAGCATGGGACACATCCAAGGGGCAGTTGTTAGGCAAGAGAGGCACCGAGGTGGTCGTCTTGTTGGCCTTTATCTTCTGCAGATTGATTTCCACACTCTGCCGGTGGCTGTGTACACAGAGGATGTTGTCCTGATGGAAAGAGAGCAGGGGCCGGTGGTTGAACTCAATGGGGAAGGTGATACACTGGACCACATCCCCGGTGTTGGTGTCAAAGCAGTCCACCACTCCAACTCGGGAGATATAGCCCTTCACCAAGCACCGGCCAGTGACAATGTACAGGTTCCGGTCACCCTTGGTGATCACAGCTGTGCCATCCATAGGGATGCTCATTTTTCCTGCCAGGCACCAGGCCTCCTTGCGCTCATCATAGCGATAGATGTTGGAGACATACCGCCTTGGAGCAATGCTCCCACCCACTGAATACACCGTCCCCCCGCAGGTCACCATGGTGTGGAAGACAAGCCCAATTGGCAGGTCTGGCAACTTGGTCCAGGAGTTGTCATCCATGTCATATCGCCAAGCCGTCTTCAGCCCTGAAATCTGCTCAGTGGTACCACCAGAGATGTAGATGTAGCGACCAGCAGAGGTGGCACTAAGTGCTGCTGCCCGGTAGGGCATCTCTGACAGCTTCAACCACAAGTTCTCCTGGATGATATAGGCAAACACTCCATCATTGAACTTGCCATGGGCCTTTTGGCCACCCAGGATGACCACCGAATCAAGCAGGGCCCCTTTCCGTTGGTAGCTCAACAAGCTGGATGGCTTCTCCTGCTTTCGGTCCATAAGGACACTCTCAATGAGAGTTGCATGGGCTGAGCTGTTCTCCATGCCCATCAACTTGTTGCTGGCAAACATCAGCGTCTTGTTGGAGACAGCATTGAGATTGATGTAGTTGAAGAACTTCTTGAAATACTTCTCCCGCTCGTCCTTCCGGAAGTACACCCAGTTGATGAGTGCGCTCAGTGCCTGGTCCTCATTGAGCACATGCAAGTTTTCGTCTCGGAGCAGGCGGCCAAAGATGACAGGTGGACAGCGCATGAAGTGCATACAGCCCTCAGGACTGGCCCAATAGTGGAAGTTGTCACGAATGCCAGAGTAGGCCAAGTCTGATACCTCTTTGAGCTCAAACAACTCAGCCAAGAAGAGGTAGCGCAAGCAGTTTGCACGGCGGATGGACTTGATCAGGAAGTCATTACAGTGGATTCGCAGGCGTGGGGTGTTGAAATACTGGGCCCCGCGAAGGAGCTCCTCCACATTCTGCTCTGAGATCACCACCTTGCCACTGTAGAAGTAGTCCAGGAGCTGGTCCACCGTGGCTGGACTCAGGTAGTTGGGGTCAATGGTGATAAAGAGCTCATCGGTGGTCTTCATGTCATTGCTGGAGATGAGGCTCTTCACCAGTGGAGAGACAGCAGCCAGTACGTTGCGATGTGCAAAGAAAACATGGTGGTCCACGGTCAGGGCCATATCCCAGTACTCTTTGCGTTTCCTCTGCTTGTTCAGGTTCTGTAGCACAAAGCTGTTGTAGTTTTTCTCTGTGAATTCTAATTTCATGGTGCTTCTTGCTGGCTGAGGCAGAATATCAGCAGCAGGTACTGGAGAACAGACTTCTCAGGTCTTTGGGATTCAGATTGATGGTTGTTTGCAGGGCAGTTGATCAGGGAGGAGGGGGTCTGGGAGAGAGAGTGATGTCATAGAATGGTTGAGGTCATCACAATGCCAGCCCCTGAGACCTTTCTCACAGGCACAGGACCTTTCTCCTCCCTGATGGGTGCAACCTGCCAAGACTAGAAAACCCTGCCAGGACTTCAAGCCCCAAGCCCAGAGCTGAGGAGAAACTCAGAAGTGGATTGCAACTCTTACTTGGGGCTTTTAAAACTCAGTTCAAGGCTATTTCTGGAATGTTCCAACCAGTCTGGGTGGGGGTGGTATAGGAAGGAAAAAGAGGAAGCTCAGGGAAGAAAAGAGATTTTTGGATCTAGAAGAATCTTCCCACCTACAGGAGGGAAACAGGCCCAGAGAAGAGAAGGGACTTGCCCAAGATCACACAGTAGGTTTGGAAGCAGACAGGGTAGAAAGCCAAGGCTTCTATAACTCAGTATTCTTCATCTTTCCAGGAAGCTCCTAACTACCTAACTCTCCCCAGTCTCTGATTCTCAGGCCTCGAAGTACCTTTCTCTGCCAAGGCTCCTGGCCAGCAGAGAAGAATTTCAGGCTGCCCTTTGCCTTCTGACCTTTGTAGCCATGGACACTATTCTCCTTTAAAACAGAGGAGAGGTAGAGGGCCCCTGGTTGGAGCAGGGATACAGGAGTTAGCCACACCCTGGGGCATGGGAGGGCCCCTGAAGCCCTGATTATTTCAGTTCCACAGCAAACTGGGACCTTCTCCCCACATTTCCAAGTCTGTAGTCATGCAGCTTTGGGGGTTGTGGTGGGTCAGCTCTCTCCCCGTACGCGTGTCACCTTGTACAAGTGGCTCAGACTCTAAACCTCAGTTTCTTCGTCTGTGAGATGGGAGTGATGGTAACCACTTCGAAGAAGATTATTACGAATTTCAATGAGAAAATGACTAGAGAGTGTTAAGCACCATGTGTGACTTGTAGCGAAAGTTCAGTCCATGTTAGCTGCCCCTACTTTATTGACACCGTATTAGTTCACCAGCGCCGGTGTCCTTGGCTGCTCCCTTTGTCCCTAACCACCTGGCGTGGGCCGGTGTTTGGTGGCTGGGGGGCGGGGGAGTCTGGAATCCGCTGGAATCCCGCGCCCCTTTGGGCGGCTCCGCGAGCCTCGTCCGGCCACGCGGGGGAGCTGGAGGGCCGCCTCCGGCCGCGAGTCCCCGCCCCCGCCCCCCCGCCCCCCCCGCGGCGACCGGCCCGCCCGCGGCCGCGCCGCCCACGTTCCCCGCAAGGCCGCCCGGGGGCGGCTGCACAGGCCGGGTGCCGAGCCCGGGAGAGGAGCTGGGGCGTCACCCTGGGGGCCCGCAGGCTCCGCCGCCCCGGGGCGCGCGTGGGCTCCCCGAGTGCCCGCGGGGCGCCTCCGTACCGCCGGCGCCGAGGAAGGGCTAAGGGTCCCCGGAGCTCCCCCGGGGGGCTCCCGGCAAGGGCTCACCTCGCAGGCCTTTGCGGCGCTGGCCAGATGGCACGGAGAGCACCGGGGCCCTGACCCCGCTCCTGACCCTTAGCCTTCCTCCGCGCCCCTTCTCGGGAGGGTGGCCCTGGAGCCTCTCCCTTTCCCTCCTCGCCTAGGAGCAGTTAGCATTCACGTCTCCCTGCCGCCTTCTTCCGTTTCAGACCCGGCTTTTTCTTTGGGGATTTAGCAACTTGAAAACTATTTAAAAGTACTTACGTTTGGCTGCTGAGGCTGTTCCCCTTGATACCTGAATGGTACCGAGGCACTCAGTGTCTTGACGTCTCTCTGCACAGGGCTGAAAACTTGCTTTCCCCATGAAAAGGAGGCTTATTAAACGTCAGCCTCTCCACCACAGACTAGCTGTATGGTTGGTGGGGGGGGGGGGGTGTCCTCTGTTTTCTCCACTTGAGGATAACTGAGCTCTAAAGGCTTTGCCAGCCCTGATCTCGTGAGAGGTGGCAGCGATCTGGGTGCAGGTGAGACCTCTTGGTGTTGATTCCAGACACCTTTTCACTCCCCTTGGCATCTAGGCCTGCCCTGGTGAGGGTTGGCGGGCTTCACCTCCTGGGGCATTTCAACCAAGACTAGAGGCTGGGTGGGGTCAGGCCTGTTGTATCTGCCCCTTTGCCACCACACCCGGGAGCACTTTGGTGGAGGAGGTGGCTGTGCCCCTTTGCTTTTGTTTCAAGGGCCAGAACACCAGGGCAGGAAGGTCCCTCCAGTTAAGAAAGCTGGGCATAGGGGGTGTCATGGGCCTGAGAAGATCCAGTAGACTTAACTCCATGTGCCAGACCTTGTGCAGTTGGACAGACTGCAGCCCAGAGTAGGGAAGGGCACCCAATTCTGAGAGTGGGGGGTGGCTAGAGCTTGGAGCCAGGTTCCTGGCTCCTTCCTCTGTCCTGCAGCTACAAAGGACAGCTGGCAGTCTGGCTTGCCCTCTGCTTTTATAGAATTGTGGGAGTCGCTGTCTTGAAGAAATCCCTTAAAGAAGTGAAATTAGTGCCCACCCGCTCAGCAGCTTTGTTGCCTGGCTTTTCTTCAGCCTAGAAAGCTCTTTTGGTCAGCTTTTTTCTTTCTCTAGCCAACTGAGGAAACAGATGCCAGACACTCAAGAGCCTGGCTGTATGCCAGTGTCCACCACCTGGTTATGCATGTGTGTTGGGTGGAAGGTATCCCTAGGAGCCACCAGGAAGTTCACTGACTGGTCACTCAGTCCTTGCTGCTCATGGAGGCTGCCCAGGTGTGGCCTCAGCCCAGTCTCTTTATTCCACCCACCCTCAGCTTCCTGCCCAGCTCAGGATTTTTGGCTTCCTCGGGGAGGGGACCCTAATATTCTAGCTTTATAGGGAACATCAGTTGACATAGCACTTTGCCGGGAAGCCCTAAAGATGAGGGATATATCTTAACGATACACAGATTTGGCCTGGAGCTAGAAAGCTCAGGAACTCCATCTCTTTTGTACCGCTAACAACTGTCTTTCTCACTTCCATATATTTTCTTTTTTTTTTTAATTTTTTAAAGATTTTATTTATTTATTCATGAGAGACAGAGAGAGAGAGAGAGAGAGAGGCAGAGACACAGGCAGAGGAAGAAGCAGGCTCCACGCAGGGAGCCCGATGTGGGACTCGATCCCGGGTCTCCAGGATCATGCCCTGGGCTGAAGGCAGGCACCAAACCGCTGAGCCATCCAGGGATCCCACTTCCATATATTTTCAAATGGCAACTTGGCTTGCATATAGTTTTGCTGTGGCCCTAATTCAAACTCATGGCATCCTAAATTTTTTAGTTCCACTGACAAATTCTCTCATTTCTTAGCTCAGACTTGTGGTCCGTGGCCAACCCAGGGATTGGCTGCCCTTGGCTCACATGTCCACTTTAGTCCAATTGGCCGTGCAAGGGTAGGTCACATGGATCAAAACACAGCTGCCAAAGGGACACAAAATATGGGGGAGAGGTTGGAAGTACTCAGAGGCTTGAGTTACCTAAGACAGGAACTGAGGGTTATGATTATCTTGGTCACCGATTAAAAACCGGGCATGAATGACATGGAAGATATTACACAAAAGAAAAAGATTTTATTGTTGTCTTAGTCAGTATCACTGGGTGAGACGAAGGGCACAGCACGAGGCTGTCTTCACAGTGCAGCACAGAAGCACGTCTCCCGAGGTGGCAGCCTCCTAACTCCCGCCCTTGCTGTCTTAACACTTGGAGGGGCCGGGCTTTCAGGACACCCAGCTCGGCACTGGGGTTCCTCCCACATGGACCCTGTGCAATCGTTATTCAGGGGGAACTTTGTATAGTTGGAGGCCAAACATAGAACCAAACTGGCGACGCTAAGCCCCCACCCACATGGGATATCTCCCTGGAACATTTGGGCCTGTCCCACATTCCTGGAGGGAGCAACAGCACAGCTGCAAGCACAGCTGCCGGCAATAGGCCTGGGCTCCCGCCCTGGTGCGAGGGGAGGGAAGAGGCCGGAGGGCTTCCTCTGGGGGCCCTGGTGAGCTCACACTCACCCCCACACTCACTGACTTCATCCGTTTGGCTGCTTGGCCAAGAGCCCAGGCAGTGTGAGGGGCTTTCTCCCAGAACAGGCCCTGGGCCACTAGTGGAGGTGGGGGGAGGGGTGACGTCCAGGCCTGACCGGTGGCCCCAGAGACCAGGAGGCACACGCTGCACTCTGACATGCCAGAGGATTTTAAGAAGGTGGGAGGGAAGCGAGGATGGTGGTAGTAGTGGAACATTGCTATTTAAAGGTAGAAAATGCAAGGAAGTGAGACTTTTCTCTCCATTTGTTCTTTGGCATTCCCATTAGAGAATTCCAGGAGGCATGCAGATGACATCATGTCTTACTACTGGAAATCTCAATAATTCTGTGCAATGGAGTCCCTGCCTGTCCCGTTTCCAATGGAAGCTGCTTTATATTTACGTGTTTAAAGCTGTTTTACGTTACATTTAGATGAGAGTTTAATATTCTTAAATATCTACCAAAAGTAGATTACAGTCCTTGAAGATCACATAAAATGAACTTCACCTCTAAGCATCACAAACATTTGGAATAGAAAAAGACCACGGATGAATATTATAAGAAATGTACAAAAGAAGTTTGCTTTAAAAAAAAAAAGTTTTAAAACTGATTCTTTCCCCCCTAAGTCCAAATAATTGTGGTCTAGGTAACCAACAGAGTAAAGGCTTCATATGCTAATTCCTTTGAGAGGCGTAAGTTCATACAGAGCTGTATATCCAAGTGTGTGTGCATCAAGAGACACTCACATGCATCACACACACAAACACATACACCCACAGGGACAGACACACAGCTGAGTTTTTGTTGTTCTAGGCACTTCGTATCCGTGTCAAGTCACCACTTTCCCATTACATTTAATGAATTACTTCTTTGGAGGCAGGACATTTTCTTCAAAGAA